GGAAAGAAAGCTTTTGCTACATGACAGCCAGCATGTCAGTTACTACATTTAGACATAAGGCATTCTGTCTCATGGCACAGAGCTAAAATACCATGACTGTTTATATAGTATTGTAAATGCATGTGGTACTGAACTGCAGACACCAGATGCAAGTCCACGCCCAAAGTATTGACAGCTTAAAATTGAGGAACAAGCTGTGCTGCAAAATGGCATGCAGGAGCTGGAGAACTTTGAGGCAGGAGCTTTTGAACAGAAGGTTGAAGTGATAATTTTTTTTTTTTTTTTTTTGTCACCACCCCTGCGCGCCCTCCCCACCGAACATCCTAGGTAGGACACAGAGCATGAATGAAGAGGAGCTTGATGGAGCATAACAAATGGGGAACAGCATCAGAGGTAGCATGGGCACTAAGGAGCACAGTTGACAGTCCAAAGGTCACAAGTTCAACACCATAGCAGAAGTGCTCATGGCGCAGCCCTGTCAGATTCCAACAAATTTGTGAATTGTACTAAATACCTTGTCACAAGGACATGAAAAAGGAAGAAAGCAGCATGCTGCTTCCTGAGCTTTCCAGATGCCCCGGTATAAAATCTAGTAACTGCCATTATACAGTCTGCTTGGTCTCCTGGTTGTGTTAAATGGAGCAATTGACCACACTCCTGCTATGTTGTTAATGTAATACAGGACATATAAGGGCACAATTTGGGATCTATAATCCATTGCATTTTGCTGGGATTGCAATGGCGTCATTAAGGCACCACAGAAATGAAGAGCACTTTCTACTCCATTCGCTCTTTAACTGTAAACAGAAATGTGGCTGGGGCGTTTTCATTGCAACCAAAATGGAAGCTCCTCCTACTGTTCCTCGAGAAGGAAGTGACAGCTACTCTGGGCATCCATCTCATTTAAGAGCCTGGGGAATCCGCTTGTTTTTCCTTTCACAGACAGACAGGTACACACCACAACTAGCAGCAGTAGGCAGTGTGGCTGGCAGTGGAGGGAAGTATAGGAGTGAATGACCTTGGAGACTGAGCTCCGTTCCCATTGCTAGTGGGTGCTGGCAGGGCCTTGCTTGGGGAAGCTTGGCCTGGCACTTTCCTGGCTGCTCCTGTGGATGAATAAAAAGCGCCAGTCTCCAGGGCTGTCAGCTCTGGCACATCTCACCAGTGCTAAACTTGCAAGAGAATGTTCTTGCATTAATAGAGTATCCACACAGGATGTGCCAGCACTGTAAAGCATTCGAGCAGATCTAAATCTAGGGTAGTGTGTTATGTAAAAGTAATTGCGTCCGACATCTTCCCTGATATGTCACTGCTGAGCTCCTGCATCGTAGACAAGGAAGCTTCTATTAAAGCAGTGCTGTTGTTGCTCTTATGAAGCTTCTGTTCTAGCCTGGCTGGCGATTAAGAGAGATGCATGGCTAAGACCCTTGTGGGTCTCTGTAAACATGATTTGCTGATCTCCCTCCTGTTATCCAAAGGCCACTGTAGACACATACAGGCCTACTATGGATCGGGATTAAAAAACAATTGCTCTGCTTTAGATGAAATGAGGACACCATGAGAAATAGAGTGCCAGCAGTATCCACCCAGACTTCCATGAAAGGCTGTGAGCCTGACCCTTTCCGGTAGGGCTCAGCACCTACAGCTCCTACTAACTGAAAAGTAGAGTGTTTAGCACCTTTGGAAATACTTTCCACCACCACCTTTGTCTCCAGGTAACATCTCCCGAGAACTTTAGCTCAGACTTTTCTGCTTCCATTTCTTTGGGTAAAATGAACAATGGCTGCTTGTTCTAGAGAGGGGCCTGAGATTAGATTAGTGTAAATAAAGGTGCAAAAGCTGCTTGCAGCCATTGGGGGGGGGGGGGGGGGAACCCCAACAAAAAATTTGCTTTACCGGAAGCAGCAGCGCATTAGTTCGACCTGGCTCCACAGCATCTGTATAGATTGGGCATTTCGGCAGGGCTTTTTGGCACTTTTATCTAAAGCTGATTCAATCAACTATTAGATAAGTGCTAAAAAAGCCCCACTAAAGCACCTGATCTATACAAATGCTGCAGATCTGGGTCGAACTAATGCGCTGCCTCTTCTGGGCATGCACTGGACTCAGCGTGAAAGCACACCAAGTTTAAAGTAAAGCACAGTTTGTTTGGTTGGTTTTTTTCCACGTCTGCAAGCAGCCTAAGCGTCTTCCCTATCCTACTCTTCTTTTCAGCCTTCTCTCTGGGAATGCTTAATGCCCATTTAAAATGGGAAATATGGAGATAGTGCTATTCTTCAGTAATGTGAGCATTTTTGTGGTGGAAGTGAAGCAGTGTCTCCTTGTGGTTTAAAGAGCAGGTGTTCTCTTCATCTGGGCAGATTTGGCAGGAAAGGGATTGAGCTGAATGAAAATTAACTGAGTTTTGTATAGAAAACATTTTAACTTTAGTTTTATTAGGAATCTGATCAAAAATCTTGTTTTCCCTTTTAAATTTAGATGAGAATCTCCCACTTTTGGGAGATCTGGACCCCAATATGTACTCCTTTCTAGAACAGAAAATAGAGCAAATGGGTCCTTCTTCTTGATGGTTAAAATACTGGATAAGTTGGCTAGTGGCTATGGCCTCTAACATCAAAGCTAAACTCGTTCAAAAACTTGAAACAAAATAAAAAGGCCCAAACATCTGTTATACATGGTAGATCAAACAACTGAATATTCATATAGCCATTAAGGGGCAAGGTAGCCTCTTCTCCTCCTCATAATGTGTGTCCAGGGGAAGATCAAACCCTTAATAGCAATTGCATTCAAAAACCATGAAGAGGGATTTTGCATAAAACTACATTTGAAGAAATTCCTGCAAATTAGATATAATCACAAGAGTTCAGAACAAATTCAGGGTATCTCCATCACATAGGTAGGGCAGTTGACACCTACCTCTTAGGCATTTGTTGAGCCATCTTTCCTTGAATGCAAAATTCATTCCCAGTTAGTGACACTTTCCTCCACCCATGAAACCCTGCCAGCCCCAGCAGATAAGGTTGATGGTTAGCTTCCCCAAGCAGTAGCTTGTACAGCTTGATTTAAGCCAGGCAGCATGGAGATTAGCTCCTGCAGCTCCCTGCAGGTAAGTTTGTGAGATGCGGGGCATGGTACAGGCGATATGTCAGGGGAACATGGGCGGGTACATGCCCCCCCAGACTTGTACACCCGCAGTGGGCAGAGGGCTGCAGCTTGGCCAGATCGGCATGGGTAGGATCCAGCGCAAGAAGATGGCACTGGGCAATGAGACTTGTGGCTGCCATCACCGCTGGGATCTCTGTACCACGCACGCTGCTGGAGGGACAACTCTTCCCCTCACCTCTTTCTACTGCCAGCTGGTCTCAGACTGTGGCTCTATCCTGCCACCATGGCCCAGCTGCTGCTGCCGCTCCCCTCAGGCCGTGCCTCTACCCCAGAAGGGAGGTAGGGTGGCAGGCTGTGCAGACGGCCTAAGGGAATTGGAGGTGTTGGCTAGGCCAAGGTGATGAGGAAGAGCCACGGCCCAGTGTACGAGTGGCTGTCAGGAGGAGGAGGTAAGGGGAGCATGGCCCCTCCCACCCATTACTCTTCCCCCCCCCCCATGCCCCCCCCCCCAACACACACCCTACCCCACATGCTGTAGGGCTGGGGCCTGGGGCAAGCAAGTTTGGAGTTAGGGGCACCAGCAGGGCTGAGGGGTGGGTTGGGAGTAAGGGCCACCAGCAGGGCCAAGGGGCTCTGAGTTGGGTGTGAGAGACCCTGACAATTTGTATTGTGCAAATTGCACAATGATGAATGTTACTTGGGAGTAATGGAGGGCCTCATGTTGATATTGCTGTTAATGTTTTCCTGTTGTTAATTGTGTCTAAAATTAAGACTGTTGAGTTGCTTTAACTTGTCATGTGTAATAAATATTTTGGGGCCAAAATACTTGCATGTTTTCTACGTAAACTATTTACTGGGTTGGGACTGACCATCGATGTTTACTAATGCATCCTGGTACAACAAAGGTTGAGAAGAACCACTGGACTAGATGACTTCCTGAGGTCCCTTCTAACCCTAATTTTCTGTTTCTATGATCAGTCTCATGCTAAATTCAGATTAGCAGACCAAGGTTTTATTGGTATAATAATCTGTATATTACATGCTAATCTTATTCCACTGCCTTCCTTCCCTCCTACACTTGGTGCAGTAGGAGACAGATTTGCTGTGGACAAACTCAGTGGCTCTGCTTCATACTTCTGCATGTAACTCTGCAGGACAAAAGCACAAGTTGTCAGGTTCAGGGGGGGAACTTGATATCTGGAAGAAAGAACATTGGGGTCAGGCTGCTGGCCTGGCTTGGAGCAGGAAGGAAGGAGGATTGCAGGCCTTTTGGGGCAGGGACTGTGTTCATTCTGTACAAATGTCTAGTCTCCAGCACAGTGGGGTTGTGGTCCATGACTGGGTCTCGTAGGTGCTGTGGTCGTACAAATAAGAAGTCATCTGTGTTTCTGTCTTTTTTCCTACAGTTCTGACAAAGTACAGGTGACGCTTAACCTTGATGGAATAGTTCAGGTGCTGGACTATCACCTTCATGACACGTCCATTGGGATGATGACCAGAATTGCAGTTCTGAAATGGCTCTATCATTTGTACATCAAGACTCCTCGTAAAGTAAGTGTGGAGTTTGCTTAGTCAATGATGCAAAAGCCTGTTGCCAGCTTCAGTCTAGTTCCTGGTGAACGCTTAAGTCCCTATTGCATAGCTGGTGCGTAATCCCTGCTTAGCTCACTGACTGCCATTCTTTGCAGCCTCAGCCGGGACTGAAGCTGGGGGTGGGGAGGGGCACTGAGCATTACATTGTAGAGGTGAGATGTATTGGCTGGGTTCTGCTGTGGAGACCATGGCTATTATAGCAAGATTCTGCAGTAGTCAGTTGGGGCCAGACTCAAACTGTAGTCAGGCTTTTGAGGTGTGATGCTGGATATGGGGACGAGGCCATAGGTATAAGTGGGGAGCTGGAAGACTGATAGTGCTATGCAAGAAGTGCTGTGTACTTAGCTTTTGTCAGAGCCGTCATTCTCAGTGCATTCATCACCCTAAGATATATGAGCAGTCATGGGCCTTTTAGTTTTTTTCTAAAAGTACAGTAAGCCCAGCTGGGCTGCACAACATTAAAAGGCCAATGAAGCTGGAAAAAGCTGTGCATTAAGACCTGAGCAATGCATCTTTGTTCCAAATGAGCCAGTCTTCTTGTGGGACAAAGCCTCTGCTCTGCTTCTAAACTGACTTCCCAGGTTTCCACTTGCTTGGAAGTCAGTATATGTGTTCTTCAGCCAGTCATTGCATGTGCCCTGGCCATTCAGGTTCTGTCTTCTCCTACCTTCATTGGTGGGAGAGGGTGCCCACAGAACTCCCCAAATGAGCACCACTCCATTGTGGGCACTGGACCGCTAGGGAAGTCCTTCTGGAGAAAACCTCAGTGCAAAGGGGGTTGGTGCTGATCTGGGGAGACCTGTGCTGACTGCCCTTTTCAGCAGTTGTGTTCTCCAGGGCTCTTCTGTAGAGACTGAAGGTTTGGACTCCAGTGAGACCAAGTGATGCAGTAGGCATATGTAGGTTCTGTGTTATCAGGGCCCAAAACCACGTGCTAAAAGCATCTGTATTGCTTATGTACCATGCTTGGGAGCATCTCCATGAAGCACACACTTCCTACTTGCTGTTCCTCCACACTTGTCAGATCTCAGAAATGAGGTGGTGTAAGCATGTCCATACAGTCCCCGCCCTGAACAGAGTATAGTCCTATGTGTACCAGCAGGGCTGTAGTGAACATATTCACTGTTCACATGTGTGCATTTATGTACATCAGTCTTAACTTAAGCTTTTAAGAATGTTCGGGAGGGGAGAGGGAAGAAGCTTGCTTGGCCTTTATAGACTGATGTTGTTTCAAGCACATGTGAAGGGGAAAGCCCCCTTTCCCCTCCAGGTGTAGCCTTTCCACTCCCCAAATGTAGTCCAATCCTTGTGGAGCACTTTGGCAAATTCTCTGGTGGGAGCAGCTGCCTTTTGCACATCAGGTCTTGTTAACCATAAGCCTAACTAGAAGGGAGGTGGAAGCTGATAGAAGGCACACTGGCAGCAGCTTCTCATGGTAAGAGGCTTTAAAAATCACCCCTCCTCCACACACACCCCTCCATTCCCCACCCTTGCTGTCTTCCAAAAACGACTTGAGCTGTCATAAAGACCCCCTCTTTATGTCTTTCCTGGTCTTCCCTCTTGGAGAGGGTAGCAAACTGCTGTTCTTGCCTCATGCTAAAAATTTGCTTTCTAATCACACAGGTATTTAATCAGCTCAGCAGGCCAGTAACCATGTGTCCTTCTGGGATTGTACATATTTTCCTATTAAGTTTGCTACTGATACATTCAGCAGAGCCATCTGTGTTTCATTATCAACTTCAAAGGGCTTGCTAGCTAGCTTAGATAGTGGGGAATTTTCCAGGTAAAAATGGAAGACTCCTGTAAAGTGGCAGTAACATGCCGCATTAATGTCCAGCTATCTGAGAGGGTGAGGGAGGCTCCAGCCTTTTAGTGACTTCATGTGTCTTGTCTTTCTGTTTTCAGATGTTCCGGCACACGGACAGCCTCTTCCCCATTTTGCTTCGAACGCTGTCAGATGAATCGGATGAAGTGAGTTTGCCGCTTCATGCAGAAGTCCTCTTAAATGTCCTTGCCAGTTGTCAGACTGTCATCTGAACTCTGGGTTAGCCTCTGCCCGTACAGATGGGTGGGAAAGCATTAGCATGTTGTATCAGCTCCTCAGTGGAGCCTTATCACCATCAGCACAAAAGAGTATAATATCCTTTTTGGTTTCAAAGAGTTTTGTGTGACCCTATCCGGTGTCATCTCTTTAGCTTACATACAATCAACTCAAACTTGTGGCTGGCTTCCAGTTCCACTGACTGCCATTCATACCTCTACCTTCAATGTGTGAACTTTTTAACCTCAATGGGCTGGTAACCCTAACCCTAAGAGCTAAATGCCAATACAGTCTCTTGTTCCTGGCAGGCCATCATGGAAGGGCATGAGGGTCACCACTGCTCTCATTCCCATTCTGCTCCATATGTGCATAGGAGAGGAGACAGAGTCACCTTGCCACAAGGCTGACGATATCCTGGAAGCCTCCACCTACTTGTTTGTCAGTCAGCTCTTAGACTCAGCTTTCATGTGTCATGGCTTTTTGTCTTTTTACAGCACCAAAGTAGGTGCATTTGCAGCAGATCCTGTTGTTAGTGCAGACCAGGAAGTATAACTTTTATTGTGAAATAGGCACTCTTTATTGTACTGCAGGGCAGGAGTATAGTTTTGCCCTCATCCAGCTAGTTTTTAGTATAAACTGCAGTACCTCACATAGTCTCGAACTTGACAGCAAATTAGCTCACTTGAATTAGTTAACCCATTGTAAAGATGGTTACAACTCTGGCAGTGAAGTCGTAGCCTGCCTGCAGTACCTGGAACTTTGTGGCTATAGTGTTACTGAGATTCATGTGACCCAGACTCCAGGTTTTGTTTTCTTTAGCTTCTTTCTGTGTCCTCTGACTTAGAAATCAGACGCTACCTCATAGTCTGTGTCAACATGCTTGTGAGGGATCATCTTAGCAGCGCTGCTGGACATGACTGCTTCGCTAACAGCAATGGGGTGGGAAGGCTTGGCTAAACAATGTTGTGTGGGCTGGCAATGCTAAGTTTTTGTCAAGGTGATGCGAGAGGAGGGAGTTGATTGAGGGGGTGTGGGGTTGTGGATCTGCTCTTGGCTTGTGGGGTTATGCAGCACAAGTGAGTCTATGCTGTAGTATGTCTTATTAGGAATGGAATAAAACAGCTTGGTGGTACATCTAGTGGTCAAAACAGGATCATGAATTGGTTTTGTGGACTTGATTGCTGGTTCTGAAGCTGACACTTTAAGATGATAGGAAAGGCACTTCACTGACCCTTTCCTGTGAAATTTACTTCTAAAGGGGGGTGTGCATGGATTTCAGCTCTTATGATGCACTTTGAGGTATTTGGATGAACATTTACGTTTATCTCCTTACGGTTCTGCTTGAGCTACTTTGGCTGTAAAGTTGGTGACTCAGCACCTCCTGATGTGAGTGAGTGTTTGAGGTTTCACCTGCCTGGTTTTTGCTCTGGAAATCTGTAAGCCAGAGATGCCACAGTGAGCCAAAAATAGGAACACTCTTCTAAGAGAAAAATGCATGTCCCCAATGTTGGCCTCTGTGCCTTGGGCTCAGCATTTCAGCTGTCTCTGCTGCTTCCCCAGACTGCCTTTGGCTGTTTTTGTCTCTTTGTTTCCTCTTCTGTCACCTCTCTATACCACACTTCCCTTTCGCATTTTACATGCCCTAATGTTTGTCTCCTTAACCCCATACATCAACTGAGTGTCTAAGTTTAACCTTGGCTGTTCTCAGTTCTGCCACCTCACTCCTTGGCACCTATTGGCATCAAGTGCTGCTAGTACTTTAACTTTGGATGCTAGCATTAACTTGGTATGAGATGCGTAGTGCATACATCTCTGCAGGTAGTCCTTGTGCAGCTATAGGCCAGGCTTTCCCAGCGGGTTAAAAAATTATTCAGTATCTGATTTGGTCTCCTTGCCCCAGCCCCACATCAATCCTTGCTTAAGGAGATTGTTGAGAGAGGGGAAGAGACCTAAACAGCAAGGAAGAGGCTGCCACTTCCAAAAGCCAGTGCCTGCATGGCTGTTTTCTGTGCTCTGCTGCTTAAGATGCAAATGCTTTTGAACTCTTTGGGAAGCACGTATCTGCCTTTGCAATGTCCTAGAAAACCTGCATCTTGCAGATAGACTCTGGCTTGGCAGGAGATTGCAATGAGTCATGTTGCAATTACTCTGCTTATTACTGTTTTAGAAAAGCAGCACAGAAAGGACGCTGGTGATGCATTTCCTCTGTATGACACAACTGGGCAGCTCAAAAGTAATTTTAAGCTGATTTATTTAATCCAGTCTATTTACTTAAATCTTTTTTTCAGAAATCCATAGAAGATCCACTCCACTAAATATTGCTGCTCAGCTGGTGCTCAGCTTTGCTTGCTTCCTTCTGCAGAGCAAATGTGAATGATCAAAATAGCAGTACTTTGGGACCAGTTGTTTTGGAGCTTGTAAGGGGCATGAAATGGTGAATTGCAACTGCAGTGACTGCTAGGTTTGAAGGCTGAGAGGTGTTTCTGACACTGGTTGGTTATGTGTAGGGGATGAGGGCAGGTTTTCTTTAGGTTTTCTCCTGCCTTGGCCAAATCTCAGCAGCTAGAACTTGGCTGTAGACTATAGGCCTTCTTACAGAGCACATAGTACCTAACTGGGTTTTGGATGGAAGTTTCTTATGAAAGTAGGGATGATGGCCAGTTTTTTCTGCTGCTGTATTAATGTCCACTTCTCCAGGGTGGCATTTGGGATAGGACCTTGCCACTTTAAGGCTTTGTACACACTGTGTTGCAGCATAATTTTCACATTCCAGCTTTGCTCTGCCTAGAAGCCTCCTTATTCTTCCTATTTTCCACCATTCAGCCAGACTGCCTCTCTGGGGGAGCTTTCCTGTACTAGAGCGTAAGGTACTAGAGTCCAGCTTGCTCTGCAATGTCACTTCTTGTGGGATTAAGCATGCCCGTGAGCAGACAGCAGTACCAGCCACAGGTACTCTAGCACAGTTGGGCGGTTAGGAATTGTCCTTTTAACACGCCTCCAAGCTGTATTGCAGTGATTGTCCCTTGCCATGATGAAGTCAAAGTAGTATCAGGCTTCTCAGGCCTAGCGTGATCCCAGTAGCACACCTGGATGCCAGCCTGAATCCCCACGTACATCCTAATGTAAGATTGTCCTTTCATGTCATCTTGCTGCAGCTCAGTCTTCCTGAGGTGCAAGTCTGTCTACGCTGTTTTCAAGCAGTTTGTTCCAGAGCAAGAAAAGAACCGCAAATAATGATAGCCTGGGATAGGAGCAGATCATCTTCCCAGTATGTTCTTCAGCTCCCTTACAAGTTCTCAGTGCAGTTTGAAGAACAGGATTGCTGTCCCAGAGACTCCATTCTAAGCAGAAAGTAGTGTTTGCTGATCCACATCTACCTGCTGACTCAGTCTTCCCCTCCCTACGTAGTTCTCTGGCTTCTGTCTAAGTAAAATCTAGTTAGTATTTAGAGAGAAGGTGCAGCAGGGAAAAGTAAGCTGGAGTGAATTTGGACTAGGCAACTCTGCTTTTGGGAACTCTACTAGTAGCAGGTACAGTAGCAAGCTGTCAGAAAAAGACCTTGATTTAAAATGCCCATTCAGTCTTGCCATTGTGGTTTCACTAGTTTGATGCAAAATTTCTTGGGAGGGGAATGCTTTTCCTTGCATTTCTGTTCTGGTTCAAGTTCAGTTTTTATCATCACTTCAGGATGATGTTCCGATCAAAATGTACCCAAAATATTGCTAGCTGGGGAGAGACTACCTCTTGCAGGATCCAGGACTAAAAGATTTCCCCTGTAGATCAGCTTAGGTTCCAAAGAAGATCCGTGTCAGCAGCACAAATAGTGCAGCCTTGTGCCAGTGCATGGGTACCTGAAAGTGAATCACTGCAAACTTTAAATCGGGTATTAAATTCACTGTCAGCCCCAGGCCACACCCAGATCACAGAGGCTCCTTGCAGGCCAGATTCAGCCTGTAGTGTGGAGCAATGGCGGTGGCTCCTGTGACTGTATGGGGGCAAGTAGCTGCTTGTCATGGCAGGGGGTGTGCAAGCAGCAGCAGGCAGCCACAGAATAACCACAACTGTGTTTCATGACCCTCACTCTGCATAGCAAGGAGTGGTTTGGGGCTGCAGCAAGGAAACCAAATCAGATACAAATTCAGCCGAATCCGAATCTGAAGATATTCTGAAAATAGTGCCAGCGGGAGCAGCTGGGGAAGCAGCCAGATGAGCCCTGGCTTGAACTGGCAGCCCCGGGAGAAGCAGCAGCTCATCTAGCTGTCGCCGCCCCGCCCCCTGGCGGTGAGGCAGGCAGTGCTGGCAGCCCCAAGAGATGCCGCAGGGGCTGGGGGCAATGATTGGGGGCTGGGGGAACAAATAAGGGCTTCCCCCTAGCTCTGGGTTCAAATCCCCCCCAGCCTCTGCAGCTTCTCCTGGGGCTGCCAGCAATGCCTGCCTCGCCCTGGCAGTGGGGCAGCTGTGGGGGCTGCCGGCTAAAGCTCCCACTAGCACTGCCTAGTGCCTGCCTGTACAGTCTATGGCCAAATCTCTCTGAATCGATTCAGGGGCTTCTGATTCGATTTGGAGAGATTAATGTGTCTCCCAATTCAGTTCGGATTTGGAGATTTGGCTGCTGAATCGGGCCGAAGCTCCTCAGAATCAAATCAGCTACTGAAGCTTTGCACAGCCCTAATACTTAATAACTTTTCAATCTGCTGGGAAAGCCTGGCCTGTAGGTGCATCAGGACCACTTGCAGAGAAGTATGCACTAGACATCTCACATTGGGTTAGAGTACTACCAGCGCTTGATGCCAATGCCAATATATGCCCAGGGGAGAGGTGTCAGAACCAGTAACGGCCTATGCCAGATTTATGGATACTCGGCTGATGTATGGGGTTAAAGAGACAAATGCTAGGAGATGTAAGAATGGGAAAGGGAAGGGTGGTACCG